GAAGTAGACGCGGCCTACTTGGATATCTCAAACGCATTCGATAGTATAGACCATCGCATTCTCCTCCACAAACTCCAGAAATATGGAATCGGCGATTTTTCTGGACAGATAGGCGCCTTTCACGTGCAACGTCACCTGAACGTGAGGGTTAGAAGAAACCTGTCGGAATCCATCGAAGTTCAGTGCGGCGTACCTCAAGGCTCGGTACTTGGACCCCACCTGTTCCTGGTTTTCATAAATGATCTCGCGAGCGTGCTATCTTCTAACTTTGCTATTTGCTGATGATCTAAAGGTATGGCGTACTATAGCTGCAGTGGAGGATCACACAGTGTTACAGGAGGACCAGGATAAAGCGTACACATGATCCATCGAGAACATGCTGCATTTCAACGTCACCAAGTGCAAAATTCTCAGCATACGCCACAAGAGTATGCACAAGTACCGCCTAGGACCACAAATTCTACAGCGGACTTCTCACGAGTACGATCTCGGCGTGATAGTTCAAGATGACGTCGGTTGTTTGAGGCGGACGGAAAAGGCAGCTAAGAAAGCAAACCAGTACCTCGGCCTTCGTCGCAGAGCTTTCCCTTCAGTCTTTTCAAAAATGCTTAGTGCATACGTGGGGCCGCACGCGGAATACTCTATTCAAGCGTGGCAACCCTGGCTCAAGCACCATCTCACCGCGCTCGATACTGCACAACGTAGGGCAACGAAGAGCTTCAGAGGTTTGACCAGCCTCCCCTACCCACTCAGGCTGAAGACCCTCAAAATATACAGTGGACGTTATAGGCGTCTAAAGAACGATCGCATAATGGTGTACCTGATCCTGAGAAACCCCAACAACCCATGCCATTCCCTGCTAATACACAGTCAAAACACCCCGCAAGAGGTCACCAGTTTAAGTTGGTCACGCGGTACAGCCGCCTGGAATGTCGGCGAAACTATTTCTCCCTTCGAGTGTCACAGCCTTGGAATGCCTTCCCGGAACATGTAATTAATGCACCCACCCTATCCCTTTTCAAAAAACGCCTTGACGATACTCTGTCACATTTACACTATGTGCTATAGCCCATGACCTCCAGATGCTGGCACTAATGCACAATAGACAGTGGATAGTGCCATAACCCTACTCGAGAATGAGTCACTCCAAACTCCCTACACGAACTTTGATAAACGCTACTACTATAGAAACTGGATTTCTGTATCCCGTCGACCTGAGACAGGTGCACACGATTGGGCGTTGTCCTTGCTATTTTTTATTTTTTTTCTCGCTTATTACATGATCAGTAACCACTCCCCTTATTGCTTTGTGTGAGTACATTCTCATTTCAAAATCCCTTTATACGGCAGTGCAGTTAAATCTGTAATCGGCCGAAAAGACGATTCCATTATCCCTTGATCTATCTTTTTTCACTCTAAACACCCTACGGGACATGTCAAACACCTGCTTTTTTACCCGTTATAACTCATTGTTCATTGTTCAGGTACATAGTCTTCCAACCTCCACAACAACATCAAACTGTCATTTCGTTCTAATGGGCTCTTCCTCAGTGATCATTGCCCAGCTCCACCTGAAACTCAGTGCAGTGCCTATCCTTGATGCCATCGGGCCACGTGTGACGGCATATACCGTCATGGCTCAGGTGAATTCCTAATCCACCAAAATAACTTTGATAACTGGGGTTTCTGGTCTACTGATGTAACTTTTCTACTATACGTCTATAAGTAGAATAGATTTATTTAACGTTTGTAGCATCAAGGGTCGGACAGATTCCACTAGGGATCGAATTTAGCACCTGTATTAACTCAGGAACTGCCTATTTTCCATTTTCCTCTTGGTCTTTCTTGAATAATTCTTGTTTATTTATCTATGGACATCGATTTATATGGCACAAATTTTCGGACGCTTTGTTTTAACATGCCACATATTGCGCAGCCGGTTGCTTCACTGTAATCCGTTCCGCCCACCGCCCAGACGGTGTGTTTTGCTAGGCGTTTCCGTAACAACATTAGACAGCGATTTCTCAGAGACAACTTATAAATCATCGGTGGTTCAGTACACATCCTTCTCCGCTCTCACGTAACTTACAAACCTTGCAGAAAGCACCGTTATCTCCTAGCGATACTGATTTTCCTACAGCAGCTGTTTACGACATAATATTTAGAACGAATTTTCAAAAATGGAGTTTGGAGTTACAAATTACTGACCAGTCCTATTTGGGTAAACAACCTTTATACTCTCTTTCGGTGTATGTTTGTCTGGCTGTAAGCGAATGTCGCTGAGTCATCTGTAAAATTCCACTAAGACTCCCATACTCATAAATACACCCATGTAATTTACGAACTAATTAAGAAACAAAAGGGGAATGATGTTGGCGGTTCACTTTGCTGTTGCCCCTCAGTTTTCACTGAGTAGGATACAACCGAGTAGAGACAAGTCATCATCATCACCATCATCCACCTCATCATCATCATCATCATCATCATCATCATCATCATCATCATCATCATCATCATCATCATCATCATCATCATCATCATCATCATCATCATCATCATCATCATCATCATCATCATCATCATCATCATCATCATCATCATCATCATCATCATCATCATCATCATCATCATCATCATCATCATCATCATCATCATCATCATCATCATCATCATCATCATCATCATCATCATCATCATCATCATCATCATCATCATCATCATCATCATCATCATCATCATCATCATCATCATCATCATCATCATCATCATCATCATCATCATCATCATCATCATCATCATCATCATCATCCTCATCATCCTCATCATCATCATCATCATCATCATCACCACCACCACCATCATCATCATCATCATCATCATCCATCATCATCATCATCATCATCATCATCATCATCATCATCATCATCATCATCATCATCATCATCATCATCATCATCATCATCATCATCATCATCATCATCATCATCATCATCATCATCATCATCATCATCATCATCATCATCATCATCATCATCATCATCATCATCATCATCATCATCATCATCATCATCATCATCATCATCATCATCATCATCATCATCATCATCATCGTCATCATCATCATCATCATCGTCATCATCATCATCATCATCATCATCAACCTCATCATCATCATCATCATCATCATCATCATCATCATCATCATCATCATCATCATCGTCATCATCATCATCATCGTCATCCTCATCCTCATCATCATCATCAGCATCCTCATCATACACGTTAGCTAGAGGTGGGAAACACCTCAGCTACTGTGCCGCAATACATAGAAAAAAGGAGAAAAAGAATGCAACTGGTGCAAGCCGGCTGAGCTGCCGGTAACGGAGGCGCATCGTTCCGGGAAGCTACCAGCCGGCTACTGTGCATCAAAAAAATTACTGTGCAAAGTTATATAAGGCTAAGTAGTGAGATCGTGGTTGGAGCGGGAGGCTAAGAGGGATGGGGTGGGTCAAAGAAACTCACAGCACGAACGCCACTGAGGTCGGCTCCTAGCCATATCAGCAAGTGTACCCAACCAAACGTGTTCATCGTCTTTCGGGCCCCAATCAGAGAGCTGAGACGCTCCAACCGAGGCCAGCTCTGATGCGAGGGCCTTCATTCCTCTGGACCAAGTCATCGCTTGGCCACCCCTCCTCTTCTTCCATCCACACCCCCCCTGGCGGGCAAACAACGCACGTCGCGGGAGTCGGTGGGCTGGCATGCGTAACACGTGGCCGAGCCAAGTAAAGTATGGTAATGCAAATTAGACTTGATGCATCAGTTTCTGGGAGCTTACCACATTCCGTTCGGAGCTCAGATCTACACTTTTGTTGTTTTGCCTGTGTGAAAATGGGGGTAATAGATGCAAGTAAAGAGAAGCAAATGAGAAAAGACTCGAATGATAACATGACCGCAACCCTCATACACGTCTGTCGTATAATAACTAAGCTAGGATGCCTTCTGGGTGGGCAGATGCGTCGTACGGTTGACTGAATGCCAACCCTTACAGGCGGGGGACGGACGTGAATGACACAGTCTGTAAGGTAACAGAGGGACCGAAAACTGTAGCTAACCTTTAGTGACCTTTTCGTTAGCCAACCTAACAGTGAACACGTCAGTGTTCACAAAACAAAAGAGGCACGTAAATGGGGAAGATCGCCAATGGGTTAGGAAAAGCGGAACAACTTTAAATTCGATTATAAACAATAGAGCGTAAGTGTGTAACATGGAGTCAGTGCACACCATAAAATCGTACTGCGATAATTTTATTCTGCACCAACGTAGGCGCCGACCACTTGTGAGCTTATTTCTCACGGCGTTTATCAGGTAGGATTTAAACATCTACTTCTTGATAACACTGTGGTATGGAGGTAAAACGGTAGAAGCTTATCCTTCATACCACATAACAACTTTTCAACTACATAGTAGACCTCCTACTAAATTGAAAATAAACCCTCGACCACTTATAAAAAGTGAGCGCAGTAAACAAAGGTGTTTTGGTAATTCATCAATAGGCTAAACACAACACACCACTCTCGAGTCCCAGTAGGACGAAACGGTGGTCTGGTGCTTTTCCGGTTGCCTGGGTAGCCGCTGTGATAAACAGATTAAGAACACGATACTTCTGAGTACTTAAAACAACACATTTTATGTGCGACACTAAGCAGGATGGGATAAATATCTTGGCGGCTGATGTGAGTTTAAGTGAGGCTATTGTTGCGACTTGTTCAGTCGGTCCAGGTCGCCGCGCAGGAAGTTGCGGGTGTAACAGAAAGCCACGGCCTGTACGGATGAGTACACACAAAGAGAGGTGGGGGCAGCAATGACCAGACACGATCGATTCGTAACTTACAAGTGCGTTATTGGCTCACTTGTTTCGGTTTGCCGTTCACACTGTCGACGCGCTAGTTATTTCAAACATTTATCATCCTCTATTTCCTCGGTTACCCTACCAACAACAGATGAGCCGGTCTATACAAACGACATTTTGGCTATGCTGTCCCCTGAGGGAGAACGCGTGTCTTTGGGAAAGGTGAGTTATTTGCGAAGATATGTAGAATTGTACACCATGTGCATGTAATTTTGACAAATTATGCTCCTCGTTGGGGATTTGGAATTATTGTTGTCCGCACCAGTGTTCTACCCCATGACAATCATCACCAAACGGCCACATGGACCCACTCCGAGAAGGGTCTTGGCAACGACACTCGGTCACATAGCCACCACAAATGCGAAAAGCGAGACAGCCATTAGTTTCCACTGGGGTGATGCGCTCTGTTGGTGCGTTCTCAAAGGATGAACTGGCCATCCAGCACGTTTCTAAATTTGCGATGTTTGTCCAACTGGGTTTGACTGCAACAGATCTTTTCTAGGTGAGGAAGAATACTTTAGCTACTCTCTTTCGATCAACAAACACTCGAACAGAATTGTAGTGCTCTACTATCATCGGCAGCTTAGCGAGGGAAGCCTCTGTGATGAGGGCCGACATTGTCCCATGCGTGACAGTAATTACGCAATAGTGAAGGATGAATCACGCTACGTCCTAACTAGACAAATTCTGTGAATTTTATGTTCTAGCACGCATGCATGCATGCACTCAAGCCCGCGACTCTAGTGTGCCCCATTGTTGCCGCCCTGTCAAGAGCAATACGTAACTCAGTATTTGAGTGTTTTTAGCCACAGAATGGCCTTGAAGCATAAGAGTCGGTTTGACTCAGCATAAGTGCAGTTGACCAACAGGAGTCAAAGACATCATACCCGGCGTTTTGATTTTAATTCGGAATGGCTAACAGTGAACGTGTTCCAAGATGCACAAAGAACCATGGAAATGAGCCTGTAAATTAACTTTTGGGGATGAGTGGTTTTCTCCCCTACCTGCAGCACGATTTCAACAGCCGCTGCATTGCACATGCCACTGAAAGCTGATCAGTCTAGCTGTCGATTGTGTGTACCAAGACTGAAACTGCCAAATAGAAAATACGTACCAATCCCATTGAAAGTCGCTTCCCTCTTTTCTCTAGTGGACGTTGTTGAGCGGAAACCGTCCCAGCTTAACACTTAATCACTTGGGGTGCGATCTTTAAAGCCTCTTACTTGACTTTCTTGTCGACAGGTGCTGCATGGGCTCCAAGAACTTTCATTGCGCATCACAATGTGTGCTACCTATAGGTCTACCACTATTTTGTCTCCGCTCTGCCAACGCCATGCTACAGGTTTCAGTCTACTCTCCACTACTTAGAGCATTACTAGAGTTAGATATCTAAGTGGTCTTTTCATTTTTGCAGTCACAGAAGCAGCTAAACTTGTGCTTGTCATTTGTAGATTGTTTAAAGTGCTCCGTTCCTTCCTACCGAATTCATGCACTACTACAAATCCTGACTACCATGTGTGCTTCGCATTGTTGTGTAGTAACTCGTAAGCTCGGATCAAATGTTGTTTATTACCTAAATTATTTGGGCTTCCGGGAGAAAATATACCATTTGTGTATAATTAATGACTCATTTTCACACGGTTTTGTACTGATTACAATAGCCATCAATGTTCCGGGCGACCAGCAGTATGCCATTACTTGCTCTGTTCTGTACCATTAAAATAGGCACAGAGCAACGACCATTATGCTCACCGATTCTGCCAGCGATAGGTCGCCTGCAATTCTGATGAAACAGTACTGTCTGTTGGATATACATTTTTTGTGACAATTCTTAGTTACCTTCTTTTGCCTCACTGTCATCTGTTTCTTAACGTTTGTTTAAATGCATCATTTCTATAACTAGACTGACCAGCATACCTCATTCGCAATGGATGTTTTCGCGGCTCCCATTTACGCTAATACCGTTTTCACGGACACATCTAATTGGCTTCTACTTTTCTCGGTTCTTATTCTCCTGTCTCATTCAGCACCGCCTGTGTTGTTCGTTGGCCCCGATGTGCGTTAGTAGCCTTGCTTTACCCACCACTATTGTATCTTGTATAAGGAAGCAATGTTCTCATGCATACAGCTCGGTCCTGGCTCAACTTCATGTTCTCTCTGTGGTCGTAGGGTGCGAACAGTGTGCAGCGACACAACAGTCGTGCAGAGTACTTAACAAATTGTTCTCCTAACAGACACTACCTGGTAATACCTTACCTAGGCTTACGATTTTTTTCTTATATTACTGTTTGTAGGGCTTGAAAGCTCGGGGAAACGTGGAAGATTGGCTTGGTAAAGTGGAAGAGGCGATGTTTACCAATCTTAGAAAATTGATGAAGATTGCCATTAACAGTTTTGAAAGTGCCGGGAGAAAAGATTGGCTGAGGTCACACCCCCACCAAATCGTCTTGACGGTTGAGCACCTTATGTGGTCCAGAGATATCACCGGTATCTTAGAACGTCCGGACAGTGGATCAACGATACTCGGTCTGAGAGCATATGAAACAAAATGCTTCAAAGTAAGCGCATCCAGAGA